CTGGGATTACAGGCTTGAGCCACCGCGCCCGGCCTCAGGCATATTTTTTAAATTTCAGCTTATTTTTGAAAGTTACTATTAGTAAATGGTCCAAGGGTTCTGGGCCAAACAAAAGAAGATCGTGACTTTGAAGAACAAAATTTACCTTCTAAGTGTCAGACTTTTTCAGGTCAAAAGGAAGAGGTCCATTGGAGTCTCCTCAAGTGATAAGGTTTGTTTTATAATACACAATAAATTGAGGAGAGTAGAAGTTTCATTGTATGCTGTCATGAAGGAAAGGAAAGACATTTGTTTAGGAACTGGGTCATCTGGGTGAGTGTAGGTTGAACCCCCTGATTTTCTAGTCCCCCCAGCAGCAGGAGAGTCTGTTATTTCCCCTCTCAGGCTTCCCCATGGTGGTGCCTTTGATATGGTCTGTCATTCCCCCTGCTGCCACCCTCTTTCTCTTCAACAAATCTGCCTGCACAGCTTTTTGCTTTGCTGTTTTCTCCCTCCAAGTTTTTTGTATTCTTTTTCCCATTTTTAAGTGCTGATCTCTTTGAATGTACTCCACATTGCCCATGAAAGCCACTGATGGCTCCTTATTCACCGTCACTTGTGATGGAGCCTTTCATGGTCATTCCACAGCTCCTGAGGCCTGTGTCCACCCTCGGCCAGTCTCTGTGACCAGTGTTACCATCATGTAGTCAGAGTCCTTCACAGCATCACAGTTTCTTCTCCAGTGTAATAGCTGTTGCACTTTGTATGTTTACAAAGCTCTACTCTCACATCCAGTGCATTGTCTGACCCTTGCAATAATCTTAAAAGGATTATTATCACACTCACTTTACATACAAGGAAATGGAGAGTCAAGGGAGTTGGGGGAAAACTCCAGGTCACTCAGTTATCAAATGGGAGAGCAAACTCAAATCCAGATCTTCTGACCCCAAAGTCTTTGTGGACACCAGTCAAGAGAAGGGAAGTTGGAGGCAAGGCAGGAGAGATGTGAAAACTGGTATTGAGATACAGTGACTACTTCAGAGGGTGAAAACATTAGTGTGCATGCATGCGTGTGCTACCATTTTGGTTGAGACCAGCTCTGGGGGTTGCTCTAGAGAAAGAGAAAGGGTAACAGAGAGGCAGATACAGCAAGTTCTCCAGGTACTGGGTACAGGTGCCAGGGCATGTGTTCTCTCACCCGTGTGTTCTTGATCTAGAGATCAGCAACATCAGAGGAAAAGGATAATAACCTCAGCAATATGTGCAGAAGGACCTGCAAAGGATCATCTGAGCTGCAAAGCTTGCTTCTCCCTGGTGCCATTTAGGAATGTGCTGTGCATTGAAAGTCACTTCTGGCCTGTCCTGGGAGTGAGTGAGATCGTTTGACTTCCTCAATGCCTTTTGGAGGGCTTGAATGCTATGTCCCTTTTCCTAACATCTTTATTTTCTGCTGTGGACTCATTAGCATAATGCCTCTGGCTGACTCAGGCACTGCTGGTGAAACACTCTAAGTTGCCTTCCACTCTTCAGTCTAAGAAGGAACCGCATGGGACTTCTGTATGGTGATTAGTCTCATGATCTGATGTATTAATGATTCTCAAAGCTTAATAGGTGTAAGAGTCATTCAGGGAGTTTGTTAAATTATAGGTTTTCAGTCCTGTCTGTCAGATATTCTGAGTCAGAACTTTGACATGGGGCTCGGGAAGATATGCATTTCAATAAAGTATCTCACGATATATTTATGCAAATGATTTTTTGATTATGCAAGAGAACATTGTAATTTGGATGAATCTTGGTTTATTTTCACTAAGTAGAATAATAAGATTTACTTCATCAGACTGCAAACAAATCCCTTGGTGCAGAAACCATGTGTATATCTTCTACCATAATTCTTAGCACATTGCCTGGCATAGGGTGAGTTAAATTCAGTTACCCACAACTCTCAGAACCTCTTTGTTAGTCTGAGCTGGGGGACTGCAGAAGACTTGGCTCTAAGTCTCTGGGGCTGAAGAAGAGATCGGGGTACACAGCCGGGGGAGCTGTGACATGTGCTGAGGAAGTGATGTTAGTTTTTAGAACATCAAATTCTGCCTATACTGTTAAATTTTTATATGAACCTTTAATGTCTTTTCTCTGGAAGCAATTTAAGTCTTAATGTTTTGCGTCTTCTACTTTGAATAGGCTCTCAAATAAGGATTCCCCAAACTTTACTTCATTTTTCAATGTTCTTAGCAATCCTATCTAGTGAATTCACATTCTTTACGGTTTAAACCAAGCCTCAGTGTTTTATGTGTCAGATATGATGTGAAAGGTTCAACTTTTTGGAAAAAGCATTAGCTAAGTTCATCATGTGCTGTGAGAAGACTCAATGATTGGTGGAAAAGTACATTTGAGCACTTCTGACACCCACGGAGAAATGCCATGCAGTGACAGCTACTTTGAGAGCAATGCCAATCTAGTGCCAATAGCCAGGACCTGTCTAAATGTCATGGAAAATGTAACTCTTTGACAAACCAGTAGTCATCCATAGCTTCCCAGGAAGGACATGTTGGATCCTCCACACACCATCTTCGGAGATGTTCCAGAGGAAATCAAGCGATTTTAGCCAAGTCTCTAGGCAACCTTAGAGGTTTATCACTTCATAGAGCCAGGAGCAGGGATTCAGGAGAGGACAGACTAAATCAGCAAACCATTGGTCCAAGATGAAATTTCATCTATGGCAGGGTTCCATCATCTGGCATCACATAAAATGTTATGAATATGAATCCTTGAGAAGCGATTGCTGTTTTTTTTTGTTTTTTTTTTTTACTGAAGCAAATGAAGAAGTTAACACTGGAGTCCTTCTTATTGGAAAGGATTTGCTGAACATCTGCTGAGAGACAGTTCTGTTGAGATTCACTCTTCTTTTAATTCCTTACCTACTAAGTGCATTTGCAAAGAAGTGGGATCCTTACTCCTTGAAATGTCAGCAGCACCTGCTGTACCTTAATTTTCTCAATTAAAGAATGTAGACTGTGACCTACCGTAGGAAGAACCATCTGGCTCAGTGTTGTTTTTGTTGGCTTCCAGGTTATCCCACGCGACAGCGCATGGGAAGTGGGGGATTCTTAAAGCTTCTTCAGATATTATCCTCACAGATAAAAAGAGGTGGTTTGAAGAGGAATAAAATGGTTCTCAATTGTTCTCTGTAGCCTGCTCTGATAGCTGACCTTTTCATGCTTGGTGAAATGATCTTTCAACTGAGTATAAGTCTATCTAATTTAGGGGAAGATTTTTGGATGACTAGTACTCAAATGTTCGCCTTCTTGGAGCCTTCCCTTAAATAATTTATGTATCATTTGACTGGTCAAGTCTTGGTTAATGGACAGACACATTCAAGGCTGCAATCCTATCAGGCTTCTTTCCAATGTTGCAGCCTCTCCTTTCATTTATAACTTCCCTGAGCAAATATATCTCATGTTCCCCAAGAAGCCTTTCTGACATCCTCCATGCCTCCTGTTTTTGTTTTAGGTGTTATGAATAAGGGTTTCAGCATCTATTCCCTTATACTTTTCCACACATTTTTTTCTAACTATTGGTGATTGTTCTAGCTGGTGCCTATGAGACGTCCACGTGGAGATGTAGGATGGGAAGGTTGAGTCTCCAAGTTCAAGGGGGAGGTCTGGGCTGGCGATATTCATTACAAAAAGAAGTAGGTGACTAAGTAGATGAGGTGCTGTTACTACTCCCTCCTTGGAGTGCGCTCCTTCTTCGGCCTCTATGGCACCATTCTATCTCATGTCTTTTCTTGCACCTTCTTTCCATTTTTCTTGGCAGACTCCTCTTCCCCATCAGCCTCTTTTATGTTATATTCCTTAGGGTCTTTTCTTCTGTATTTACCTCACTCTGCTCACTCTCACTTGAGATCTCGCCCATGTTTATGCTTTTTACCATCATTTAATGCACCATCACATGATACTGTAATTATTGGTTTACTTGTCTCTTTTCCCCACTCAACTGTGAGCTCTTTAAGGGCAAGGACTATATCTAGATCCTTAGCACTTACCATAGCACCTAACAATAGTAGGTGTTTTATAAATATTTGATGAATAAATAAAAATGCATTTATTCATTTATTCCTTTGTTCCAGAACAATAATTAAAACCCATCTATGCCTGCTATTGCAAGAACCAGAAGAAATGGTAATGATGAACAAGAGAAGGAGGGTATCTTCCCATGATGATGACCAGTTAGTTACTTGGACCAGTTCACAAGGCTTCTGTTACTCAAAACAGGGCACTAATTGCATTATCATTATTTCAGCTCCTTCTCATGCTGTATGTAACATGGATGCCATGGGAAAATGTACGTAGAGTTCTAAGCAACCGACTTAGACATCTTTGCTAAAGAAGTTTTTCTTAATTAGGTCTATTACTAGTCCTGCTCTTGGTCCTTGTTGATTTAACTACATTTCCATTCTTTGATTTGGGTTCTTTATCCCTAATCCACATAAAATAACAGATCATGGGTCAAATGTAGAAGACAGCATGACACAATGTAGAAGGACATCATGATGAAAAACGCAAGACCTAACGCTCAGTTGCCCCAAAGAAACCTGGACAGAAGCACTGAAGAGGAGGGAGCACATGCCAAGGAGGGGAGAAAAGGAGTAAGCGTTTGCCGAAAACAGATTCTTACCCTCTCTGAACCGATTATAGAAAAACAACAGAGATGGTTAACGTGAGTGTTGGAGAAGCAGATTAAAAAATGATGATAAATGTCGGTGGAGCCATGACCATTTTCTTGATTATAGGCAATTGCCTGTTTTATGGTTTTTGAGGACTTCTTGCATGAAGAAACTTTAGGAAAGGTATTTAACTGTAATTAGCTTCTTAGCTGAATTAAGTATACTTTCTTTTTAGTTGGACTCAGAAAACTGGGCCAAGGTGGAAACCTATCCTCTCTTGGGGAAACCCCACTTGCTTTTGTTAGAAGCTCTGAAAATCTTTCAGATCAATTGTTCCCTCTGGGTGTCAGGTATCTTCCAGGGAAACTGGTTCATTTTTCTGAGTGCTATCTGGGGCCAGTTGCTGGGTGTCCTCAGAGACAGAGTATGTCCATTGCCTACTCTTCAAAGTATTAGCATAGTGTGTGGTGCAGGGAATGTCGGGGGTGGGGGAGGTTTGTATCTCCCCTGATAGCCAGATGCAAGAGGAACAAGAAACATCTACTTCTAAATTTGAAAGGTGAGTATTAAATTTTATGCCAATTATTGGTTTATAATAATCTAAGGCAGCTTCTGTCTGGGTTAGCTCTGTACAGAGCCACAGAAAAGGTCAAACTATTTCATTTTCTATTTTCTAAATAGATAGAGAGGGCTTTTCTTACACTGTTTGACCAAGGTGCTTTCTTTTCTCCCCACCTCGCAGAAGGAGGTTCAGATGTGTTGCTTGTCAGATGCAGGAAGACCCTTTCTACCTCAGACTGATGCCCCGATGTTGAGCTGCCCCAGGAAAAGGGCGGTGGTTGAGATGCTGAAGGGTAAAAGGAGGAGAAGGATAAAGAGACTGCATGAAGTTGCATTGTGGTAGGCCTAACAGTCATATCCACACATCCGAAGGATTATGATAAAGAAGAGCAGGAATCGAGTTATTTTATTTTCCTCCAAAGAACAGGACTGTGAAAGTAGCAAGGGACAGATATTGGCACAGTATGAGAAACTATCCTATCAGGAGAATTGCCAAGGATCCAGTAGGCTTCTTGAAGTAGCAAACTTTTGTCTCCATGTGTGTTTAAGCAGAGATAGGACACGTGCCTGCAGGTTGGAGTTGGGGAAAGAAGCCTCAAGGAGTCTAAGCATTCTGCCTTTTTGTCTTGTTTCTTTATATTTCTTTTCTGTGCATTGGGAATAATTGCTTTCATCTACTTGGTAGGAGCTAGGAAGGAGTCAGGGAAAGCTTTCTGCATGCTTTGAGCTTTGATGGTTAAAATTGCGTTGCAAACTAGATTGCTTCAACTTGGGGGTGCTCTTCTGGGGCTTCTTGTTGCCAATTTTAGCAAATATTATTTCTGAATCATGTGTGCTCTCCTAACATCTGTCCTCTAAGGACACTGCTTTTCAGTTATCTCTGAAGGTGGCCTAAGGGGACACTTTCTTTACTTTTTAAGTGTCTGTGCCACCTTTTTCTTGGGTGCCCCTTTCCTGTTTCCTGGGGACGCTGAGAATGTGTCGTACAAGTACGAAGAAATGAAGCAGAGTCAGCTTAGAAATAAACATTCATTCCCTGTCAGGGAAAAAAGCATTTGTCTAGTCTGTCTAGATTTTAAGGTGTGATCCTTAGTGGCATCCTGCCACTCTCTGTGTGCTGATGTGGAATGAACCGTGCCCCCTGCCCTGCGGCACATGCTGTTCTTCCTGGAAGGCTGAGCACAGGCAGAGATTGTGGTGGCTACTTGCATACCAAGGACCAGGACACGCCTCTTCTCAAACATTGCCTGCTCTCCTCTGGAGTTCAGGTAAGTCCACAAGCCTGCCCCTGAGCTCACCCTACTTAGTGAGAGTGGTAATTCCTTTGAACAGTTCCAGAGTTTTTCTATAATATGGAAAGATTCTAATTTCCCATTTAGGTCTTTCAATTAGTGGAGGTCAATTTAGGTCTTTAAACCTGGGAGAGATGGTTCTGGTTTCTATGTAACAACGCCTTCCAGCTGGCCAGCTTACCCTGTGCTGTGGATGCCTGGTCCCTAGCTGAGGCCAACGAATAGACAGCCAATGGATAGATAGATTTAGCCCATCATCATGTCTATCCCATCCTGCTGCTTTGGGTTCCAACCCTACTCTAAGCAGACATAGAAAGACTTGAGTCTGTGATGTAGCCCTCAAGAACAAGATGATCTAAATGTCCTCTAATTATAGGCACTGATAATATAAGTGCCTTCCCTTATTATTTTTTATCTTTCTCTTTCTCTCATACTTACTCGAATGCACAAACAAACACACTCATACATAGAGCAGACTGTACCCTCACTCAGTTCCCTGAGTCTTTGTTTCTCCCTTGCCCAATTTTCTCTTATTCCTAGCAAATAATGGCATTAATGAGGAAATCCACCAACTTCACATAGCCTGATTTTAAAGAACTATGGCTGATGTACTTCAATGAACTGTTAGCTTGATATTTCTCTTGGACATTTATAAAGCCAAGTCCCATGGTAATGGCATGAGAGGCAGGTTGGGTAGGATGCAGAAGACACTGGGGAATGGAAGACATTTGTTGGTGAAGATCAAGAGCTTACTTTCTGGAAAGAAGGCTTGGTGGTGAAGAGGGATGCTTTTAACAAGGGAAGGGTCAGCGAAGTAGTTTTATTTCAGACTGGAAAGCGACACAAAGTTATACCAGGGGAAGCCAAGATGAAGAGTTATTACTAATTTTCTAATTCCTACCTCTACAAAAGTTTCTATTATTTCTTTACTTTTGTTTATTTTTCCTAGCTTTCATTCTACCCCAAAACAACACCAAAGAAGCCTCTATAAGTTTTAACTATCTAAATAATGACATGTTAACAATACTGTTTATCGGTCACTTATTATATGACAGGAAATGTACCATGCACACGTATTATCTCATTAAAATAATATACATACATGGTGTATATAATTGTCACCTTCAAATTAAAGATGAAAATAAAGAGAGATTTAGAGACCTTAAATGACTTTTCCAAGGTCATGTTCCTAGTTAGTGGCAGAACAGAATTGGACACTTTGATCTTTTAAATTTCAGGCCAATGCTTCTTCCATTACCTTTTGGCTGCTCTCAAACTTTCTAGGCACAGAGGAAATGGTGGCGGCATTGAAAAGTTCTCTAATGTAAGAAGGCACTGAAGAAGACTGATCAATCAGAATTCCTCCATGGCGAAGGAGAGATTTAATGCACAACCAATACTGTCATGCCAAAATAACACCTTAGACCAATACATTCATTTATATAACAATATTTATTGAAAATGGAAAGGGCATTATTCAAGGAGCCAGAGATGCACTGGGAAAAAAGAGACAATAGATAATTCCTCTACCCTCATGAAACTTATATTCTACTCAGAGAAGATAGATAATAAAGAATTAAAAACTGTTAAGTGTGGTGCAAAGAATTAAAATCAGCCAGTGGGATAGAATCTTAACATTATCAGACCTTAACATTATCCTGATCTTAACATTATGAGATTTCAAGATTTACTAGAAGGCTTCAGTAATCACGATAAGGTTTTAATTTATAATAAATCTTAAAATCTGATAATGTTAAGTTCCTAAACTATTTAAAAATATTTTTTTTGGATATTTATGGAATAAGGTTCCATGGTAATGTGCATATAAAGTTTATATACACACATATGAAAGACATAGGTCAAAGGAGCAGAAGAGAGTCAAGGAATAGACCCGCATATATACGGCCAAGTGATTTTTGTGTCATTTTTAGATTATTTATAATGCACACAACCATTACTTCCTAAGTTGACCAATGTACTTTCATTTGTTGTTCTGTGATTAGTTCTATGGCAGCAATAGTGTGACTATACTTTTTCCCTTTTCATACAATGCTTGGAAGGGTTTGCACCTTTATAATAGCTTTTGTGTAGAAAAGGACATAGGTAAATATGAGTATTACAATGTAAGTATACAAAAATAGTGGCATTGAAACTTTTCTAATGTTTTTCAATATTAGAAAAATGTAAGACTAAAATGTATTTATTTTAAACATGGGACATAAAGTAAATTAAATTCTGAGCAAAAATAATGTTATAAACAAAAATTGATGGTTGTTCATCAATTGATTCTTGATGAAAGTGCCAAAGCAATTCAATGGACAAAGGATAATCTGTATAACAAATGATGTAAAAACAATTGACATTCATGTGCAAAAAAGACCTCAACTCTTACCTCATACCACGTATACAAATTAACTTGATACAGATCACCATAAACATACATTGTAGAGTGAAAACTGTAAAACTTTTAGAAGAAAAATTAGAAAAAATTTTTCAGTGACCTTGGGTTAGGCCAAGGAGGCTGGAGCCCAGTCAGTGAGGAGTGAGGAACCAGTTATGATAGAGAAGTAGACAGGGCTGATCATGTTCAGGTCTAATTCATTTGTCAAGAATGTTTTATAAAGTCATTGAATACCTCTAGAAAGAGGCACATGGTGTTTGGTTATCTCTTGGTCATCTTGGCTGTCATTTGGAGAACAGTCCTAGTGAGGGACAAGTGTAAAGAGGGGGCTAGGTAAGGAAGCTTGTCACTGTTAGGAGGCTGGGATGAGAGCTATGGGGGCTTTGTGTCAGTGTGATATCAGCAGAGACAGAAAGAAGTGAACAGATGGAGGATATGTACCTATCACTTTATGATTTGCAAGACTCTCAGCTACATTATCTCTTTCGGTTTTATAACAATCCTTGTGAGGTAGTAAAGATATAATTCCCATTTTGCATATAAGGGCATTATTCTCTGAAAAGGTAGATTTGTTTCTACCCATACAGCTAGTAAATGGAAGGGCTGTGTGGGGAAACTCAGTCTTCTTGATACAGTAGAAATGTTGCTTCTTCCCTACCAAATTGCCTCCCCTGGAGCCAGAAAAAATCCCACACATAAGCATCATCTCCATAGCTAAATACAGTCACACTTTTTGGCTCTTTTCTGCTATAGCTCTATTTTGGGTTAATTTACCTCGTACTGACAACTTTGACTCTCAAACAGTTTAACAGTTATTTCAGACATTTATTTCTGCTCAAAGATGCACTGCTCCTATTTTTGTAAGCCAGATGATGCAGAGAGTAGGTAATGTGATAGGGAACCTTTTACCCCTCATAAATCACTGACTCACATCAAACCAGATTACCAGGGATCCATATATGTTCTGTCTAATGACATCTGTAAAGATGACAGCACATAATCAGATTCTTCTTTGATGTTTTAATAGAATTTACACAAAATAAAAACTATTTATACAAAGATATAGTATTAGATATTTTACAGATGTTACCTCCACTTTTTTTTTTTTTTTTTGGCAATAACACTGATAGGCTCAAGGAGGTTAATTTTCCTAAATACCTAGAAAGCACCTTGTTTGAATGTTTGAATTCAAGTCTCTAAGGCCAAAGGCCAAGTTCTTTCCACCATAATACTGTTTATTGGAAGAAAGAGTAAAACCATTATGTACTTTCCTCCTTGGCATTTAGTATTTCCATCCCAGCCAACACTAGCCATGGGAAGTAGGCACAATTCCCCATAAATGTATACTTTAGTAAAGAATTTCTAACTCAGAAGCACCGCAAAATACTCTTCCTAGACTTTCTTCTAGGTCATGCCATAGCAAGAATCTTTGATCTTCTGCAGGTGTGACACCTGTTTACTATTTTATTTTATAAAACCCTAGCACTCCTTCTCCCTACAAATACCACAGAAACAACTCTACTATTCAGTGCAGGTGAATTAAAATTAAATTTTACCATTTGTTCTTTTTAGGGATTTTTGAGAATGCCCTGGAAATTTGCAAGAACAGTGATCTGCTGACATCAGCCTGTGGCATTGTCAGCTGACAACTTTCCAAAGAAGATACAAAGTAATCAGTGTAAACTTTGTGGAAGTTTGGTTGATAAAAACCAAGAGCAACATTTAATCTATATTCAGCTGGTTTGGAATGTTGACAACATAAGTTAAATATAAATTATTACCAAACATAAGCCACTTTGGGGGATTTTGCTTATTTTCACTATCAAATAACGGCAATCAGTTTAGTTTTGCTGGTCAGTGACTAACCCTAAACCTCTCAACCTAGCTGGCACTAGGATGTCAAGAGCTAGGTGGCACTATGGTGTAATTCTCTGAGTTGCCCAATTATAAAGAGTTTGATTGCGATGACAGAGGTTTCTCGAATCAGAAATTCAGCTCTGTTTTGCTTGTGTCTTCTCTAAATGCAATTTGGTACAACATAAAACAGAGCATTCTCTTCTTTCTTGCTCACCCACTCCTGCTCTTGATTTCTTTTTGATAAGCTCACGTGTGTGACATGCACAAACACACACACACCCTTGTTGAGAATTATTTTTTAAAAATCAACAATTAGGGGTCTTTCAGACAAAAGGTGACATATGCCTTCTAACCCATGTCCCTGATTCAGGAGTTTTCCCTCTAGTGACAAAGTGCTATTTATAGATCATACACAAGCTGAGGCCAGAGCCTACTATGCGAATAGCTCGTAATGTGGCAAGAAGGATAATTACTGTTAAAGCTGATCATATGAATTGGGGCATTCTTTTTACACCCTACTAAAACAGGGTGGAGAAGCCAGGGGAGAGAGAACTCGGGGCACATGGTATTGCTCTAAGAATGTAATTCTCTGCAAGCCTAGTTGCTGAAATTCCCTGCTGTAACCTGAAACCAGTTTTATCTAAGGGCGGCTGAAACAACCCCTTGTGTTTTACCTACTGCCTTCACTCACCAACCACATCTTGCCAACTCTCCCAGACCTTACTAGGGCCAGTGAGCTTTCTCAAGGGACAATATGTAATGGTTCCTTTTTTGAAAAATGAAACCTTTAACCTCTTCATTATTGGGACATGTTGAAGACAGTCTGCAGGTATGGCCTGAATTACCACTGTTTCCTCCCCACAAAAGGGGTTAATTTCAGAGATTAACCTCTCTTTTTTATTTGACTTTGACAGTACTTTAGAATTGAAAGAAGACATTAGCAGTTTCATCAGTTCAACTTCCCACCACCGGATGTTTGAAGTTCATCTCATTAATTTTGAAAAACATTTTATTTCCCTATATTTGAGTCTATTTTGCAGAAGTTTAGGAAGGCTTGGAAGAAGTTTCTGGTGTAGGAAGGCTGAAAATGGTAGCCATGCCATGACTGCATTCTCATATGATAGAGCAAGACAGGATGAAACTGAAGGACCAGGAGATTAACAAAGTGGTACCTTCCTAGTGTGTGCTGCTAGGTCACACGGCATCCTGTAGGGGGAGTTAAGCCACTCAACCGCTGTAGCTGTAGCATTTAAGGCAATGAGATCTTTTGCTTCTCACAACCCCTCCTTCTTTACCCTCCCTCCTTAGCTTTCCAGCTGCCAGAAATGTCATAAATACTTCATTTGCCCTTGACACAAGAAGAACAGACTATCCAGAGCACAGGAAAGAGAAAGCCCATGATGGAAGAGATGATTGTGTACATGTTAGAAGGCTTCTAGAAAAATTTCCCTTCCCCCAGTTTTTCCTCTTCAAACTGTTTCAGGATCATGGACACCATTCTCAGAGATAAAGTATATTTCTGAATTGAGGCTAGTTTTATTTAGTACACAGGAGCTTGTCAAAATGCACATCTTTGGTCATGTAGTATGATCAGGTTTCCTGCAAAAAATTTAAAAGAAAACGAGAAAATAAAAAGAGGTAAGCTATTGGATTGCTGAGAACAGTGTTCTAAAAAATAAGTGGGATTCAGTTTCCATGTAGTTGTGCAGTTTTGAGTGAGTTTCTTAATCCTGAGTTCTAATTTGATTGCACTGTGGTCTGAGAGAGTGTTTGTTATTATTTCCATTCTTTCTTCTGAATGACGAGCGAATAAACAATGAAATGAAGGTAGAAATAAAGATGTTTTTTGAAACCAATGAGAATGAAGACACAAAATACCAAAATCTCTGGGACACATTTAAAGCAGTGTCTCGAGGGAAATTTATAGCAATAAATGCCCACATGAGAAGGGAGGAAAGATCTAAAATTGACACCCTATCATCAAAATTGAAAGAGCTGGAGAAGCAAGATTAAAAAAACTCAAAAGCTAGCAGAAGACAAGAAATAACTAAGATCAGAGCAGAACTGAAGGATATAGAGACACAAAAGATCCTTTAAAAAACCAATAAATCCAGGATCTGGTTTTTTGAAAAGATCAACAAAATAGATAGACTGCTAGCCAGACTAATAAAAAAGAAAAGAGAGAAGAATTAAATACATGCAATAAAAAATGATAAAGGGGTTATCAACACTGATTCCACAGAAATACAAACTACCATCAGAGATTACTACAAACAACTCTATGCACATAAACCAGTAAATCTGGAAGCAATGGATAAATTCCTGGACACTTGCACCCTACCAAGACTAAACCAGGAAGAAGTTGAAACCCTGAACAGACCAATAATAAGGTCTGAAGTTGAGGAAGCAATAAATAGCCTACTGACTAAAAAAAGTCCAGGTCCAGGTGGGTTCACAGCCGAATTCTACCAGACGTACAAAGAGGAGCTGGTACCATTCCTTCTGAAACTGTTCCAAACACAACAAAAAGAGGGAATCCTAACTCATTTTAAGAGACCAACATCACCCTGATACCAAGAACTGACAGAGAGACAACTAAAAAAGAAAACTTCAGGCCAATATCCATAATGAACATCAATGCAAAAATCTTCAACAAAATACTGGCAAACTGAATGCAACAGCACATCAAAAACTTATCCGTCACAATCAAGTAGGCCTTATCCCGGGGATGCAAGGCTGGTTCAACACACACAAATCTATAGATGTAATCCATCACATAAACAGAATCAAAGACAAAACCACATGATTATCTCAATAAATGCAAAGAAGGCCTTTGACAAAATTCAACAGCCCTTTATGCTAAAAACCCTCAATAAACTAGTTATTGATGGAACATATCTCAAAATAATAAAAACTATTTATGACAAACCCACAGCCAATATCATACTGAATGGGCAAAAACTGGAAGCATTCCCTTTGAAATCTGGCACTAGACAAGGACACCCTTTCTCACCACTCCTATTCAACATAGTGTTGGAAGTTCTAGCCAGAGCATTCAGGCAAGAAAAAGAAATAAAGAGTATTCAATTAGGAAAAGAGGAAGTCAAATTGTCTCTATTTGCAGATGACATGATTGCAGAAGACCCCATCATCTCAGCTCAAAGTCTCCTTAAGCTGATAAGCAACTTCAGCAAGGTCTCAGGATACAAAATTAATGTGCAGAAATCACAAGCATTCCTACACACCAGAAACAGATAAACAGAGAGCCAAATCATGAGTGAACTCCCATTCACGATTTCTACAAAGAAAATAAAATACCTAGGAATACAACTAAAAAAGGATGTAAAGGACCTCTTCAAGGAGAACTACAAACCACTGCTCAAGGAAATAAAAGAGGACACAAACAGATGGAAAAACAGTCTATGCTCATGGTTAGGAAAAATCAATATCATGAAAATGGCCATACTGTCCAAAGTTATTTATTGATTCAATGCTATCCTCATCAAGCTACCATCGATCTTCTTCACAGAACTGGAAAAAACCACTTTAAATTTCATCTGAAACCAAAAGAGAGCCCATATAGCCAAGACAATCCTAAGCAAAAAACAAAAACAAACCTGGAGGCATCATGCTACCTGACTTCAAACTATACTACAGGCCTACATTAATCAAAACATCATGGTACTGGCACCAAAACAGAGATATAGACCAATGGAACAGAACAGAGGCATCGGAAGCAATGTCATACATCTACAACCATCTGATTTTTGACAAACCTGACAAAAATGAGCAAGGGGGAAAGGATTCCCTGTTTAATAAATGGTGTTGTGAAAACTGGCTAGCCATGTGCAGAAAGCTAAAACTGGACCCTTTCCTTACATTGTACACTAAAATTAACTCCAGATGGATTAAAGATTTAAACATAAGACCTAACACCACAAAAACCCTAGAAGAAAAACTAGGCAGTACCATTCAGGACATAGTTCATGACTAAAACACCAAAAGCAATGGCAACAAAAGCCAAAACAGACAAATAGAATCTAATTAAACTCCAGAGATTTTGTACAGCAAAGAAACACAATCATTAGAGTGAACCGGCAACCAACAGAATGGGAAAAAATTTTTGCAATCTACTCATCTGACAAAAGGCTAATATCCAGAATCTACAAAGAACTAAAACAGATTTACAAGAAAAAACAAACCCATTCAAAAGTGGGTGAAGGATATGAACAGACATTTTTCAAAAGATTTATGTGGCCAACAAATATATGAAAAAATGCTCATCATCATTGGTCATTAGAGAAATGCAAATCAAAACCACATTGAGATACCGTGTCTCACCAGTAAGAATGGTGATCATTAAAAACTCTGGAGACAACAGATGCTGGAGAGGATGTGGAGAAATAGGAACACTTTTACACAGCTAGTGGGAGTGTAAATTAGTTCAGCCATTGTGGAAGACAGTGTGGCACTTCCTCAAAAATCTAGAAATACAAATTCCATTTGACCCAGCAATCCCATTACTGGGTATATATCCAAAGGATTTTGGATCATTCTATTATAAAGACACATGTACACATATGTTCATTGTGGCCCTGTTTACAATAGCAAAGACCTGGAACCAATCCAAATGCCCATCAATGATAGACTGGACAAAGAAAATGTGGCGTATATACACCATGGAATATTATGCAGCCATAAAAAACCATGAGTTCATGTCCTTTGTAGGGACATGGATGAATCTGGAAGCCATCATTCTCAGCAAACTGACACAAGAACAGAAAACCAAATACCACATGTTCTCACTCATAGGCGGGTGTTGAACAATGAGAACACATGGGCACAGGGAGGGGAACATCACACACTGGGGTCTGTTTGGGGGGCACCTAGGAGAGGGACAGAAGGGGCTGGGAGGTTGGGGAGGGATAACACTGGGAGAAATGCCTGATGTAGCTGACGGGGGGATGGAGACAGCAAACCATCATGGTATGTACCTATGTGTACCTATGCAATAATCCTGTAAGATCTGCACATGTACCCCAGCTCTTAAAGTATGATAAAAAAAATA